AGGCCCTGCGAGAATCAGCCTGTATTATTTTCTTTTCTCTTTGCATCATTGTAAAATTATTTCAGCACATCAAACTAATATACTGGAAACACCGAATTTCTGTACTCTTTTTTTTTGTTATTTAATTTGGACGCAAGTATGAATAATTGACAATTTTTTTCTGGGTCAGCCGTAAAGGAACAAGTTTTTGTAATGTTAACATTTGTGCACCGATGGCACGTTGAGATAATTTAAAAAAGAATCTATAGATGTTTATCTACAAAATTTTTCACACAAAAGATTTTATTTAAATTCATCAAGAAAATTAATTTATTAATAGGAGCAATAAATAAGAAATAGACCATTTTTTTAAATAAAATTTGTTGCCAAGAACTAGTTTTGTCGAGCGCCCACCAGAGTAGCGCTGCGATAGTACCACAACCACAGCTAAGCAATCTCTATAATACAAGATTTTTCGGGTTTCAGAACTCGCGCCCCTAAAAAAATTCTAATATAGGTCCTAGGAGAATTAGAATGTATTATTTTATTTCTTTTTGCATCATTGTGAAATTATTTCAGCACATCAAACTAATCACTAATCTAATACCAAATTTCTGTACACTTTCCTTCTTATTTAATTTGGATGCAAGTATGCATAATTGGCAATTTGTTTCTGGGTCATTTGTAATAAGTAGGAACAAATCTTTGTAATGTTAACATTTGTGCACTGATGGCACGTTGAAATAATAATTGAAGAAAGAATCTAAAGATGTTTTTCTACAAAATCTTTCACACAAAAGATATTTTGTTTTAAAAAATAGCACATACAGTACATCTAAAATAACATATCTTAATTTTAGATTTAGTTCCGGTTTCTTTTTGTAAGATACGACTTTTGTTTGCAAGAAATTTAAAAAATAATAGACTAAAAAATACAGCACTAGTTTTTAATTTTATAATTTTTTGTTTCCAATTTTATTTAAATTCATCAATAAAATTAATAAATAAGAAAATGACCTTTTTTTAAAATAAAATTTGTTGCCAAGAACTTGTTTTGTCGAGCGCCCACCAGAGTAGCGCTGCGATAGTACCTATATACTGTGCACATCCACAGCTACGCAAGCTCTGGACATTCTTTTTTTTTATTTTATGATTCGGAGATTCGTTTTTTTACATTTCACTAATATGTGCCTTTCAGCAATATACAGTTTATAAAAATTAAAAGTTTTGCTTTGTTTATTACAAGATTTCCTAAATTCCACCTTTCTTTTTTTAAAATAGTCTGCTTTCCCTCGAATTTTTATATTTAGTGACTTACAAATTTTTGAAAATTTTTGCAAGTACTGAATTTACGTAAAGTTTTTGTTGTTTCTTGTGGTGATTCAGGATTGGTGCTAACGCAGCGCTATTCTGGTGGACGCTCGGCAAAACAGGGATTACTAAGCACAAAAATAAAAATACAGGTGCACCAAAATCGCGGCTCAGAGAAAAATTTCAAATAAGAAACATTTTGACATTTATTTTTTGACATTTGACATTTAAAAAAAATGTAGATGTAAATGTCTATTTAATGATACTGATGAACTTATACAGGGTGATTCACGAGGAATAATGAGCCTGACTAAATTCTCGATACAACCACCATTACACATTCGCTAGTTGCTTTGCGACATTTAAAAAAAATGTAATTTGAATCTACGATGCCTATTATCATGATCAATCATGATAATAGGCAATCATGATCAATCATGATAATAGGCAATCATGATCATTGTCATTTTTGACAAACGCTACAAATTTATCATTAACTGAGCAAAATGTGGACCATAGAACACCACGAGGACTTATTCCAATGATGAGAAGACTGACATGATTTTAGCTTATGGAGAATGTTTGAAGAATGCATCTCTTGCTGCCTGTGTGATGCCCAATGATATCCCGAAAGAAAGAGCATTTTCTGACACGATCAGGTTAGTTTTGTGAAAATTGGGTTCCTGTTAAGTTATCAAAGCTAATGGTACCACTGGATAAAGCTTGAATGGGTGCCTTCCGTAATTTGTATTTTAATATACCCATTATTGTGTTGGTATTTCAATTACCTCTGTTTTTCAAAATTTTAATGTCAAAACTGACAAATTGTAAGTGTGCTCGCTATGATTTCATATTTATTACAAAAAATTTTTGAAATCTACGTGACCTATGAAAATGTAATGTTGGTTGCATCTTCTGTTTTCCAACAGAAATAAATAGAGTCAAAGTGCAAAATTTAAACTAACATCGAAATTTTTATAGATATTTTTTTAAACATTTTTTCCACGTTCCTGGTATCTTACCTTATTTTTCTCTAGAGCGCGAGTTCTTACGCATACTGTATACAACAGAATCTTCTTTATTACAGTTTATGCATAAATGAATGATATAAATTCCTGTGTGTTATAGAAATAAATTTATTAATAATAAATCAGAAAAAGTCGATATAATAATAATATGGTAATACAATAATTTGTTGCTAGACGTTTTGTTTTGCCAAGCGCCCACCAGAGTAGCGCTGCGATAGGGGCGTAATCCTGTGCACTTCCACAGCTAAGTAATCTATACCTATTTTTTTTATTAATCACTTAATCAATTTTTCTTATGAGGTAAACATATTCGCACATTTTTTGTGCCATTCAATATCTATAACATTTTGTTGCAAAAATCAATTTTACAAAATTGAAAAATAAAGCGGTCATTAGCTACTATTTTAAAATTCAATCTTTTTGCATAAAAAAGAGAGTTGCAGATTTTGAAAAAAGATTGCACTGTGAAGTGTGAAACACAAAAAACTCTGATTTTAATCTGGTGAATTTTTAATGCTGTTTTGTTATTATAAGCATAATTCGTTTCTAAAAAAACAAACTTTTTGAAAATTTGCTACTGTTTTTTGCTCTAATTTTCTTCACAAGTGAGATAGTTTTCAAAATTGTAGCTTAAAATAGTGTATTAAAGAACAAGTTTTATAAGGGTTGATTTGGCGCACGAATCCCGAAAGCGAGTTTTCTATGAGGTAGGTGCGCCAATGCCATTATAAAACGAGTATTTTATGCTATTTTTTCTAATTTACGCCCCCTTTTTCTTATTTAAAAAAAAAACTAAATAACCCTAAATTCATTAAAGTACAGAGTGCTGCATTTTGGATGTCCGAATAAGGAATCTCCGAAACTAATATGTTTAGCCAAAAACGCTTGATACATTCTGGGGCTCATTTTTTTAGAAAATAATATTGCTTAAAACCGCATCTCGCTATCGTCTTTTGTTTTCGAGTTATAGACAAAAATTGACATTTCAGCAAAATCTAAAAAAATTCATATCTTTGTTATTATAGAAGATACAGATTTGAAACAAAGACATTATACAGCCACTTTTTAACGAGGAATTTAATAATGTAGTTAACAATTTTTTTCAGTTATTGGTTTAGCCGTAATAAGATAAACTTGTATGTTTTTAATGAAAATCATAGGCGGCTATGGCAATTTTGAAAAGCTTATTTTTTCTTATCTAAAAAATATATATTTGTAACAGAATATTTTTTTATAATTATACTTGTATTTATATTTTGTTTGATAATAGTTGGCCATGGAAAAACTATTTCACTCTAAATGTGTAAATAATAATCAATAAGACTTTTGTGAACTCTAAAATAGATGAAAAAATAGATAAAATTATAAAAATTTAAAAAATACGATACGGTAGAAGTATTGAACAAATATGCGAGCGCCTCAAAACAAAATTATTACATATTTAAAAAAAATCCAAAAATAGGAAAAACAAATGTGTCAACAGTCAACACAATTAGAAAAAACATTTTTTTGATGGTCTAATGGAGGTAGGATAACGTTCCACATAGACGGAATTTGGGTATTTGAATAGTCATAACTTCATTTTTGTGTCATATAAAATATATTTTATTGAAGAATTAAAGCGGCTTTTTTTACAACACTCTATGTGTCACTAGAAGTTACAATGGTAATGTTAGCTTGTTTAAAAACAAAGAAATGTTATTAGTCGCCAATAAGTTGATTTACGACTTATTTTGCATCTTTTTCATTATTTAGTACTTAGAAAACTCTTTCATTAGTGACACTGGTTGAATAATATATGTAGTTTAAATCCTTTTAGTTGAAGATGCAACATTTTTTCATGGCCAACTGCCAACAAAAATCAGATAATTTTTTGCTATAAATGTATTATAATAATTTGTTACAAATATATATTTTTAGATAAGAAAAAAACAAGCTTTTTAAATATGACATAATCATCTATGATTCCCATTTAAAAAAATACAAATTTATTTTATTACGGCAAAACAAACAATTGAAAAAAATTGTTAACTACATTATTAAATTCTACGTAAAAAAGTGCCTACATAATGTCTTTATTTCAAATCTGTGTCTTCTATAATAACGAAGATATGAACTTTTTTAGATTTCGCTGAAATGTCAATTTTTGTCTATAAGTCGAAAACAAAAGACGATATGCGGATGCGGTTTTAACCAATATTATTTTCTCAAAAAATGAGCCCCAGAATGTATTATTCGTTTTTGGCTAAACTTCTTAGTTTCGGAGATTCCCTATTCGGACATCCAAAATGCAGCACCCTGTATAGTGTGCTTTTATAGATAGCCATAAACGACTTCTACTGAGAGACGTTAATAAACGTGTTATAAACGCAAATTAGAAAAACATATTAGAAACGCAAATTAGAAAAAATTAATTTATGAACGCAAAAAACAATTTTTGAATAAATTGTAACTCTATTGTGTAAACCTGCCACAATTCGGCGTTGTGAAAACAATGTAAGAAATTTACATCAAATTCATATTAATTTTATTTTGTATTTTGTATTAATGTCAGTTTTGTTATTCCAAACGCTTTTTTCTAAGTGTAGTAGGTATATGTACTTTTTCTTGAAAAGTCTTGACCGGGTTTCCAATGTTTATATTTTTCGAAACGTGAGTGAGACACCGGTGGCGTCGCCACTCTTCCCATGTGATGGACGGGAACAGGAAGAAGTTACATGTCTTTTACAAAAACAGAAGAATGGAATTGGGAACGAGGAATTGGATGGCACAAACTCACGAATGTTACACATCATTCTTTAAAATGTATGTATAATGTGGTTACCCCCAAAATCACATATTAGTAAGATGTAGAAATAACAGTCAGGGTAACCCTTCAAAGTTTTTTCTAACCTCATTTTTGTTCCAGAAAAATCCACTGTCTGGCACATCACATCCAAGCCAGTTTATTCCTAAAATGATGAAGAATTTCGCAGCGTTATTTCCAATGAGGCAAGTACTTAATATATTGCAATCTTGGAATATAAAAATTATCGGCGTGTCTAAAACGGTTGAAATAATTTTATCGCGTAGCCTTTTGTCGATTTTTCAAAATATTTTTGAGAAAACATTAACCCCAACAAAACTGATTTCATTCTGTTGACTTGACAATTGCAATATTTACGTGTCCATAAAACCGAACCTTTATTTTCTTAGGGGTAAGCTAAATACACAAATGTGGTGGTCACCAAGAATGAAGTGGTGACAATTCACTTTTAAGTAGGGTTCTTAACAAAAGAATTAAGATCGATTTAGATATCTTTAGAAATGTTTACATGGAGACATGGGAGGTTATTCGGTGTAAATGTATTTATCAAAAAAATTTCATTATTTTGGGACAAACAAATTGTGGATAAAGGAACCAATTAGGTGTGAAGAAAACTTGTATAAATGTCAAAATTAGCCGTACACAGGGCTTGGGTAATCCAGAAATAATTCGTAGTCACCACTTGTGTTTGACAGCTCGGTTGTAAAAGACAGGAAATGATTGAACTATTCACAATTGTTACACCAAAAAGGAAATACCAGCCTCCTCTTCACACAAAGCATATTCACTAAAATTGTTATCTTATTTTCTATTTATCGAATTAAGTACAAATTGAGAAATGCTTTATTTCATTTCTGGGCATATCATATCGCAGCGGCATTTCTGATGTATTAAATTATCTTAGAATAACGCAAGTCACTTGAGATTATTTCTAGAAATAAAATGTTTCGAAAATTTGTTTGCTGTTTTAAATAATGAAAAATAAATTAAATAATAAGCTTTTGTACCACGAGACCTGTCAAACTTTTTCTATAATAAAAGTCTGTAATAATATATCTCAATACATGCGGCTAATAATTAAAGTCACTCCAATGACGATTTAAAAATCGGTAATAATAGAATGAATTTCAATGACTACACTTAATTATCTCTTTATAAATATATTTTTATTTGATTTTCCCACTAATTATTTACAATGTAATGTCCGATCTGACTAACTAAATCTAAAAAACTAATTGTGCACTTTTTTGTGTATTTCCTACAATTTTTTCGACGTTTTCCGTATTGTTCAGCGTTTCGATAGTCCTCGAGAACATCATCTTTTGAACTTGATGGACTAAAATACAAAAATTAGCACAATTCGCATGTTGTATTTACTTGACGGCCTTACGTCAACAATAAATGCAGTATATCGCCTAAAATACCGGTATTTTCCGAACTGTAAAGTGACGTTTCGCAAATGGCTCGTAACAAACAATTTTTCCCTGGATAACCATGTCTAAAAAAAAATCAAAATAATTAATAAATTTAAAAGAGAAGAGTGTCGCCCCCTTGGGGCGAAACGTTCAACTGCGGTGTTAACAGTAAAGAATTCTGATATTTACGATTTCATTTTGTATTCCAAAATATCGTAGAAATATTTTCGACCCCATGATCTTTTTGAAACCAAGGGGGGATAGGTGAATTCTGTCTCGTTTTGGGGTAATTCATAATTGGCTTCTAAATTATAAGAGAAAAATACGTTGTAATCTGGGATTTCTAAAGGGAGAGAAAGGGCTAAAAATATCTGCAATAAAAAAAAAATTGGCTAAAAAGTAAAAACTTCATACGCTTACCCCCATAAAAGGTCCTTGAATTGGACCATACGGAAATCGTATTGGATTAAGAAATGTGAAAGAATCATCGGCGTTTAACATTTGCAATTTAAGAAAAAACACAGCACTTAAAAGAATTTTTTTAAAACTCATTGTAATAATAACAATCCGCGTGGGTACAGCGATACTGAAACTCATCTTTATTTCAATCTGTTTTTCAATTAAGATGTTACTGTTACAGCGGCTAAGTGAAATGTTAAATACTAAGACAACAAAAGATACAGCTTAGTTAGGGATAGTTTGGCATGGTATTGTTAGCTAATTATCAACTCCTAACATCTTATTGTAAGTTTTGTTAAAGGATATGTTTTAATTTTATTACCGCTTTAAATTCCAATCGCCCAATATGTTTCAGTTTTAATTTTTTTTGTTTAAAACTGTTTGCAACCTGCAATACATTAAATAAATATATGCGGTGAAGATCAATAGTATTAAATTTCCCGCGCTGGCCAGGTGGCGCCCATGTCGCGGTGACAGGATTTCAAGGCCGTTTTATTGATATTTTTATACACATTGTAACTTATCAGATACTCCGTTATTTATAAAAAAAACAATTGTTACAAAAAAGTTTTCGGTAATCATTTTTTTTTCTCTTTGATAAAAACCGAAAATTTTTTGAGGTTTAATACAAAAATCTCCTCCAGGTTATGTTGTATTAAACTGCAAAACCACTCTAGAAAATCTCATCGATTTATCTAATCTGATTAAAATTTTAGTTTTATGGTAAGCAGTTTATTCCGAGCTGGCAGAAGTCTCCTGAACATGGCAAAACCCAAAGTGATTTTCGTTTTGGGGGCTCCAGGTGCGGGTAAGGGGACACAGTGCCAGAAAATCGTTGATGTGAGTCAAATTTTTTTAATAGATTATAATAACACGTCTTTTGTAGACTTTCGGGTATGTTCATTTATCAGCGGGGGATTTGTTGCGGGAGGAGAGGGCGAAGCCCGACTCCAAGTACGGGGAACTGATTGAAACATACATCCGCGAGGGTAAAATAGTTCCTGTGGAAATCACGTGTAGCCTCCTCGAAAATGCGATGAAAAAATCGGGCAAGGAGAAATTCCTCATTGATGGGTTCCCAAGGAACCAAAATAATTTAGACGGCTGGAATAAAACACTCGCTGATAATGTGAAATTGTTGTTTGTTTTATTTTTTGATTGCCCGAAAGAGGTAATTTTTGCTTGCTTTTTGTGACTCAGAGTTTGATTTTTTGGCAGGTTTGTGTTGACAGGTGTTTGGGACGCGGCGCTGCTGGCAGTGGCCGTTCAGATGACAATATTCAAAGTTTAGAAAAAAGATTTAACACTTTTACTCAAGAAACCCAACCTATTGTTAAATATTATGAGGAGAGAGGGTTGGTTAGAAATATCGACGCTACCAAATCCCCCGATGACGTGTTCGGGAGGGTTAAAGGCGTTTTCACCGAGGTTGAGGCAGGCGGCGACTTTTAAAATCAAAAAATAAGCTGGGGTTCCGTATTGGGTATTAATAAGGTAGATGAACATTCCTCAATCTTGATTTGCATTTAGTCTAGTCAGGGGCGTACCATCTTTTTATTAATTAATTTTTGCTTAATATCCGTGTACTATACATAAAGTACTTAATTGTTACCTGTAGAAATCAAACCGTTGCCCTTGCATCATGTGGGTCATACAAGGCAATAAAATTCATTATTTGGCGACAGTATTTGCTCAACAGACTAAGTGTAGGTATATGTGTCATGTGCTCTATTGCCTTGGAAGTGAAATAAATTTTTATTGAAAATAACTGTCTTTCATTAGTTTCATTACACCGAATGTCCTATCCAACTAATTAGATCTAGGAAACTAACTGTACAATTTTTATTATATTTTCTACAATCACTTTGCGTACTTCCTTGTTTCTCCGCTTCTTCATAAACCGATAGTAGTCCAGTATTGTTAGAAGTTGATGGCCTGTGAAAGCCGCTAATTAACCAAACTCGATTCTGTTGAGACACTTACGTGAAGACAAAATGTATAATATCACCTAAAATGCCATTTGCGTACTGTGTACTGTGTTGAGCCGCTTCACAAATCGTCCGTAGTAAGCAGGCACGGCCGGGATACCCATTCCTGATAACACAAGTCAATCAACTATCACACAACTTGATAAACTTACGACTCCATTTTTGTCTCCAAAGCTGTGTAAATCAACTTCCGGTCAATTCTTCGCTGGATTAACGGAGGGTACTCGAAATACGTCTGATTTCCAGGGAGAGGGTAATTCGCTTCGAAATTGTACGCCAAATAGGCGTTTTTATTTGGTAAATCTAAAGGTACAGCGATTGCCATGAACAACTAAAATCAAAATTTTGGATGCTGTCAATTCTGGAAATATACTCTTACCCCCATCGCAGTTCCAGGCAAAAAATGAAACTTCCAATTTGGATACCTGAACTTATCATCGGCACTATTTTGTACTACTAGTACTAGAGTTACGACAGAAATTACATGTTTGTGAATTGCCATGGCGGGATTGCGACTAGGTGTGAAGATGTGACATTAAAATGTGCTTGAACTGTTTAGACGTGTTAATTGGAGCGGTTTACATAACTGTTGAATACAATAACAGCTATTTAATAACACCGATTTAGAGCTGAGTCAATTTTCACCAACCTAGGACGAGGATACAGCAAATAGCTCTAATGGATTTCTTAGGAAAGACACCATTAGGACAAACGTATGCAACAATAAATTAGCACATTTCTTTTAATTAAAGAGTGGGACGAGTATTTGGTCATCTTACTTGATTCCAGATCGATGAGAAAAATAGTGCTTCTATTGAAAGTCGTGATATACTTTCACAGTTTCTATAACAATAAAACTCTGTTTGGCTTTATTTCATACAAACAAGAATTGTTTATTTTATTATACACAAAGTTAAAAGGATAAATATTATTTCGGACGGTCTAAATGTTTTCTTTATCAAATTTTTATGTTCACCCAATTTCAATTTGAAGGGATTTGTTTCGTTAATTAAAAATTTCGAAAACGACCACTAATAAACGTCTCTTCAGGTTTATTTCATTACACCAAAGCGTCGTTTTTAATGACGCAAAGTTTTTAAATCGCGACATCGAAAGTGAAGGGCAGAAATTCCCAAAAGAATTGCGTTGCTAAAGCAGGTGGTATGTGGTTTCTTGAGAACCACCTGACTCAAGATCGCGTGAAAATTTAGATCCATTTTCATTATTTTCAGTCATAAATTTTAAATTTCTGATTAGCACTGATTTGTGTAGTAATATGCGAAAGTTAGTGCTTATAAAAGCACTCGTAAATATATAACTCCCTAAAAAACGAAAATTTATTTCAAAGAAGTTAAAACTGACCTTATAAAAAAAGTAAATAGTTTGAAAGTAAAATACTTCCAAATGCTTATCATTTACATTAAGGCGTGACTTTAAATTTATTGCTAAAATAGTTATCTAAAAGGCGTGACCTTTCATAATTTACTATTTGCACAAATGTTTAAATGTGAGGATTCTAAAGATTACAATTGATTTTTGGTAACTATTACGAAATTATTTTTTTGTTTTTTCTATGTTAAGAGATTGACGAAGGCCACATAGACTCCTACGCCGGTTATCTTGTTTTTTTAATCTAAATACGGTTCGAAAAATGAAAGCATCAATTAACAAATCAATTGATTGCGAAATCGAGATATTGATAGACTGAGAATACGGATTGTTGATGCACCTAGGTCATGATATTATGAGTTAAATATCTTGAATGGAGGAGTGGTGGAACAAATTCTATAATCTCGCCTCACAATAGTCTTAGTACTCTTAGTACATCTTCAAGTTTTCCAGTGGAAGTGATAGATTGGCTTCTTCAGTGTCATAAAGTGTGTGTGCGTGAAAAAAAAATGGCAATTTCATCAACGACCGATTGGTCAAAAATTCGCTATATCATGTTTGTTTTATTTTTCATAAGTGCCCTTTTGGCCTCAACGGTCGCAACAGGATTGACAACATCGGGAAAAGTATGAAATTCACTAATAACGCTAATAAGTAAAAGGTGCTAAAGTGATTGCTTCCGATCAAATATGGAAATGTAAATAATCTGCGAAAAACCGGCGCGATTTTGCGAAATTTGCTAAAACTCGACTTTCTTTAATGCCATTGTTAGACATTGGCAGTTAAATTCATGGTTCTTGAACTTATCCACGATTATCTGCGCTAGAATATTTTGCAGGACCCTCAAGCATGTCATTAAAGTTTCAGTGATTGTAAATTGTTTCCTTTGAGGGCGGCATCTTGGAAATGATCTGTTCTTTATAGCGCTAAACGTTCACTTTTACTCAAAATGGATTAGAAAGGCTTGTTTATGATCACGTTGTGCAATTTTTAGCAAAAACGCCAATTGTTTCGCGAACATCTCCTTCCACAACATGGGGGTAAAATCCCCGACGGAGCCTTCGACCCTAGTCGTATAAGTTTGAACAAATTAAGCCAGAATGGGATTTTTAGCCCCGACGGCTACCACATTGCCCAAAGACACCCCGACCGACACCACAACCCTAAACAGTACCTCCCCAACACCCTGAAGGTAAGCCTCTTGGGGAATGCGCAAGTTTCCGGTTTAATTCATTTTTAGGTGCATCAATATCCAGAAAACAGATTTGTTGCTCCGCATGGGCAACATCACGATCTACAAACCATTGATACCACCTACCTCATACGTGAACCAGTACAATACCCTTTGTTCCCTCCCTTAAAATATTACCCCTCTTTGCCGTTTTATCCACAGTATTCTCTCAAATTGCTACGGCATTTTAAATATGACAAAGTTAATGACCATCACGACGGCTCGTGGAACGAAATTGAATTGCCAGCTAAGGTAAATAAACAGTTTTATAAACAATAGAAACGTTTATTGTTAATACAATCGCTTTTAAACTGATTGCATGCTTCTTGCTATGCAACATTACGGTAATTATAGGTTTCGAGGACGTTCGGGCTTAATTGCAATAACTATGACCACATAAATGAATTGCTTTTAAAGGTTTTCATGCTCAAATTATTTTTTTTTTAAATATTTTTGATTAAAAAACTATGGGTAATCAGGCAACCAGTAATACATGTCTTGCGTAGTAGTGAATATATAATTTATTAAACATAAAGAAAAACTGTATAATTTATTTATGAATGGCGAAATCATAAAATTTTTCAAACAAATAACTGATTTTCATTAGAGAGTGAATGTTGTTTTGAAAATTATAATGCAAGAATTATTTTTTCTATTAAATTTGTTATATCGCAAGGACATACTTATTTGTTTCAAGTGCACAGTGATATAAATAATTGCTTAAGAGGCGTTTTTTTTATATTGTCTATTTCTATTTATCAAATTCTTTTGGAATGTAAAAAGTTTGGTACCTATTCAATTATTATATAAGACAAGTTGCACTTAACCCACTGAAAACCAGCCTCTGATGGCATTTAAGGAAGAAGTCGTTCCGGTGGTAGAATTCAAGGTTGTTTGTTCACAGATCATGAAATGTAATTAACATTAATTGAAGCATTTATTAGAAATGAAAAGGCTTTTGTAAACGTTTTTTTTCTTTTTAGATATTAAAAGATTTTGCCCCGTATCTCCATAAGTTACATGAGACTGACTGAGGACACTGTTTAAGTAGCGGACAAGATGAAAGTCACATTATAACGTTCACAATGTATATTTTTATATTTTATGTATTTCTATAAAAATAAAAAATATAGCGAAAAGTCTGTATTTTTTACGTTTCCTATACAACAGCGTTGACCTGAAACTGGAGCGAACGAAATCGAAAGGCATTATGAAATTTTGCCTTAAGGTTCAAGTCTCAAATTCACAGTTACGATCAGGTGTTGTGTAACACAATGACAATTTTTAAAACAATATTTAAATAGCAATTTTGATTAAAAAGTTGTCTCATTCAAAAAAAAATGTCTAGCTACATATCAAGAGATAAAACCAAATTTCAACTCGACGAAAACGTGTCTTTAATTAAATTTGGTCCACTAAGTAGGGAAAGTGATATATGACCTGTTCTACTCTTGCTCTTGCAGAACTGTGGTCATTCGAGATCTGTTAGTGTGAGAGTGTGTTGAATAATGTGCAATAAATTAATTAGTGTTGTTGCTTTCTTAGCTTCAGCTATCCTAGTAGCTGAATCAATCTCAATTGTAAGTAAATTTAGCAAGAAGTAAAATAAAAAATTGAAACAAATGAATTAGCATCAAACATACGAGGGCTATGCTGTAGCCCCTAAGCTCCGTCAGCACGAAAAAGAGCAGCAGCAGGACTTCAGCAAAATCCCGGGAATCCCCGGAAAGGACTACCCCCTTTTCCATTCAGTCCCCCCAACTAGCTTTTCATGCAAGCACGTTCCTGCTCATCCTGGGATTTACGCCAACGTTGAAACAGGCTGCCAAGTACGCAAAATCCACATTTCCGTCGAGTAGAATCTAATTTTTCTCTTGGCAGGCTTATCACGTCTGTCACGATGGCCGCGAGGGTGAACAAGGAGCCTCTTTCCTTTGTACAAACGGAACCATTTTCAACCAAGCTGAGTTTGCTTGTGATTGGTGGTACAATGTGAACTGCCACGAAGCCCCTAATTTGTACAGACTTAATTTGGACCCTACGAAAAACCCCTACGTGCCCAAACCAAAACCCGAAGAGGAGCTCCATTTTGTGCCCGTTCAGAAATATTAATGTTTTGTAAATATTTCGTTTAAATAAATTATTGTACAATTGTGTGAGTTTTATTTGGGTTGCTAGGAGGCAACTACATACAAACAAATCAAATTGATTTTCTTGTTTCACGAAATGGCGCTCACGTGGGAAGATAAAGAAGTTAGATTTGATATTCCATTCACGTAAGTTTAAACCGTATCAAATTGCAATTACGTGAAAAACCTTCAGGGAAATGAGATTAAAAACTGGAGAAAAAATCATAGACAGATTGGAAAATATTGAAGATACGAAAGGTAATGGCGGCGATAGAGGAAGACTTATCGTTACAAACATCAGAGTTTTGTGGCATTCTGTGACTAGTCCTCGTGTTAATTTATGTATGTTTCATATCAAATCGTTCAAATATTAAATAGAATTTTGCAGCGATAGGCTTTAACTGTGTTGTCACAATTAATACAAAAGTGGTAAATTCAAAATTGAGGGGAACTACGCAAGCCCTTCACATTTTGACATCTTCGAATGGCACTCGATTTGAATTCATTTTTACCAATTTAGTACCCGGCAGTACGCGCCATTTCACTTCGGTCATGGGAGTTCATAAGTATTACTATTATAAAAATAAATAAATAAATAAATGGCCCCTTCTAGAGCCTACATCTCTTCAAAATTATACAGAGAATTAAAGTTGCGCGGGGCTGTTATCCATAATAAACAACTAAAAATCCTTCCACTGGAACAAGTGTTTTCAACACTGCATGGAGTCTGGAACTTGTCAAGTGACCAAGGCAGTTTAGGCACTTTCATTGTAACAAACGTCCGTTTTGTGTGGTTTGCGGACATGAATGAGGGATTCAACATCTCTCTCCCTTATTTACAAATCAGCTCTGTATGTAACTTCTGAGTGAAGCCCCTTATGACTTATGATTTTAGATAAAAATTCGCGATTCGAAGTTTGGTACGGCTCTAGTGGTCACAAGTACGGAAATCAGTGGAACTTACGTTTTGGGCTTTCGAGTTGATCCTGAAGAGAAACTGAGGACTTTATACAAGGAGTTGGTTTCGTTGCATTCGGTTTATAAAACAAATCCAATTTTTGGCGTTGAATACAAGTGGTGTACTAGTAAGGGGGATGATCAAGCAAACAGGAAGTTTGTGGAGGATGTTGTTGAGATTGAAGAGCCTCGAGGGGAAATGTCTAACGTCTTGGCGGTGTATTTGGCCGACGAGGGACACGTGAAAGATAGACCAGTGGTTTATTCGCCTGAATTGGGACTTGCGATTGAAAGTGTCAAAGAAGGTTTCACTTTACAGAAGTTGTGGGAGGTTTTACCATCATGAAAACATTACCGTTTCAGTACATTTATTCACTATCCTACAGTGTTTATGATAGTCTAAATGATAGAAATCAGATTGTATAGAAATTTTTACAAATAATAATTGGTCTCTGCAACTACACAATTTTCAGTCATTCATAATTGCAACATCTAGGATAAATAGAACACTTAAGGATATCTATAATGATCTAAACATTTATTATCATTATTAATAAATATTCAAATAAATATAAAAGGAATTATAAAAAGCAAATAATCGGAGGACCTCCAGGTTAATTAAGTAATTACTAGAACTCATCACAAAATTTAAGAAAAATTACTAAAGTCGGTTTTCAGTTTAATTGAAGGATGATGACTTGTTACTGGTTTATTAGCATTGACCCCATTCTTGATTTTTATGTGATTTTGTTGTTTTGATCTAATCGCATTTTCTAATTTCGTCCTAAGTTCACTAGTCTGACTCATCAATTTTTTGAATTCCTGTCAATCAAATGAAAAATGAAAATAGTTACGAAACCTTTTATTGTACAAACCTGTGGATATTTTGGTCCGATTTTCATTAGTCTTTGCAAACTGATTTCGTGTAAATTTAATGAGTATTTATTTGCCGACCTAAGTGCTTGACCTTCTAATAAATAACTTATCAAGATCGGAACCAGAAGTGTGAGCATTTGAATTCCTAAAGCAAAACAAAAACAACATTACGTTACAAAAATCGACCACTTATGTACACTTGCCTTGCATTATATCTCCTGAGAGAGCAAAACAGTAGGAAAAAACGTTACAAAAGCGCAAAATTTAGTTTTTGTACTTACGATTTTGTGGTTCCGCCAATTCGATGAGTGACTCAACTGTTACGATGGTTTCCAAGGTAACAAAAAGTTCCCCATCAGAAAATATATTCCTCGCGACATCCGAATATAAAAACTCGACGAGTCTTGGCGCGAGTGTGTGAATGTAAGGAGTTGCGACTTTTCGATCCGGATGAGCAAACAAAGATTTCAAAGTTTGGACACATTTCAACCTTACCTAAAATCGGAACTGTAATAAGCCAAATTTTGTTTTGCTCAAACTTACTGTAGAATTCGAACTTTGGAGACATTGTCGGAAATGATTTATACATGGATATTGCAAATTAGGCGCCGTCACGACTTTAGATGGCGCATGAAGAACAAAAACGGCTATAGCTAACATCATGGTGACTTCGTCTAGTTTATTTTCGTCGCTGCCGGTTTTTGCAAGATCGATGATTTTTGCGAGAGCGCTTTGGAGAAGCTTTTGCCAGGTATCACAGCTTCGAGGGTCATTGCAATATCTGTCTGTTGTTAGGATTTTGAGACAGTGGAGGGCGGCTTGGACTGAAGCATTGTTGGCTAGTACAGTCACGTCGTTGATATTTTTAGTTGCCATTTCTTTTATTACGCCTGTTGTTAAATATAAGACCGTTGGGAGTATGGAAAGTGCCCCTTGCGGCGAACATAACTTGTGTAGGTTTTCCATACAAGCTAAAGACGATGCTATTAATCGACCGGACTCGTCCGGTGTTTGCATGATTCTTAGAGAATTCACAATTGTAGAGTTAGGCGAGGGACTTAGCGAAGGCAATTGCCGGACTAGAAGACATAAACACACTTCCAAAACTGAGAAAACTAGGGATTTCCCCGGCAATATATCACCACACTCACCACCCTCACCCAACAAATCTATATCAGTTGTAGTGTCTTGTTCGTTCAATTTATTTTTCTTTTCTCGGTCGAGTTTTTCTTGTGCCGCTTTGATAACTTGTTTGAGGACTTCCATACATAAAAGTTGACAAGTGTGGTTATCTCTTGTAAGAATGAGACGATGTAAGACGTTACATAACTCAATTCCGAGAGAATTATCCACTAGAATCAACTCTCTTGCATAAGTGGAGTCAAGCAAAGTATATAATGCTTTGAGACATGTAATTATACTTTCTAAGGGTTCTATCGATCTGGGACTACACAAAGCCTCCATGCATATACCAAACAAGAGATGAAATTTATCACTGGAACTATCAACTGTATTATTATTTGTATTATCGTTGTCTATTTCTGTGAGTTTATCAAAACCACCGGAATTGAGCCACAAAGCTGCTGCATGTAGGATAGGCGGCCATGAAGACATGTAATGTGGCCTTGATGATTCCATTGTATCATTTGTATAAAAAGCGCCTCCATCGTGTGGCAATTGACTGGCGAATTCGGCCGGTAGTGACAATAATGCATGATCTTTTAGCGCTGCCAACCAATGTTGTGACAAACTAACTAACTCGGGTTGCACCAACGTCAATAAATTCTCTCCCTTATATTCAAAGTCGCCAAACTCGTCATCGTTTGCATTCACCGGTGTTATTAACTCAAGATTCGCACTTTCGTTCCCCTTCATTGCAACTATATAAACCTCAGCCCAAGCCTTCAAAATCGCCAATTTCTCTAAAGTTGCTAAACTCTCGTTGTACAGTTGCGTTGTATTCGTCTTATTTTGTAACTTAGTTAAGGAGGAGACTAACAATTGGTGCACTCTACGTAAATCATTTAAATCTCGTGCAACGTTCGAGCCAATCCAAGTCGAGCAAACTTCACAAGCGGCTGCTGTGACATGAGACGAAGTATCAGGAGCGAAAGCCGGTCTTAAGGCTGCACCGACTTGCGCTTGGAATTGTTCAAGTAACAAGTGACCGGGGAATTCCGGTTCTGGAACTTTCGAAAACTTCTCGATTATGTCTTGAAGAGTTTTCAAACCTTCGAGACGCAACGGATCTGAATCACTCGTCGCGGCGATGAACGCCATGCGGATCAATTCGGATAAATGCAAGACGAGGAAATCGCTTTTGCCCATTTCTTTCGCTTGAATCAAGTCGAAATGAATCGATTTGTTCGAACTGCTTTCGCAAGCTGTGATTATTTTGCGAACGCACTCGGCTGCGAAAACACGAGTCGGCCATCTTGGCTGTACAGCGGGATGGGTTGAAGAGTCGTCTTCGGCGTGGAATTCAGCTTGGTCATCATCGGCTTCAGGTTCGTCGTTCTCATCCCCGTCGGTTGCTGAAACGCTTTGTTGGTCCTCCATGTTTGTACTGTCAGTTGCTATTGTAAGGACATCTTTACATAAACCTAACCATTGGGATAAGTTATCAGCTGCAAGCATTTGTAACATGCTAATTAACGTATCATGGATATCTTTGATTAGAGCAGCATCGGTCTCAGTGTCAAGCATACTGAAGAAAACGCCAGGAAGACCCGTCTCTGTTATAACTAAACCTTCCACCGTGTTATTATCACGACTTTCATTGGCTAAAGTCATTGCATGTTCACATACTTCTTTAGCTTCCCTTTGTGCTAATTGTCTAAGACAAGAAATAGCAGCTTTGCGTAACAAAAGATGATTACTAGATAAAGTCCTCTAAAAAAATGATATCAAATAATGTCCGGTTACTAAAGAAGTTACTTACGCAAAGTGTGGGGACCAGTGAAGACAAATTAACATGTCTTGGTGCAAATAAATGTAACTGTTGGAGACATCCTGTAGCTTCCGCTTGCACTAGAGGATCTTGGTGGTCTTGCATAATCGCACATGCACACAAGAATGAACTCCTTGCCATACAGATACTGGACGTATTGCCTTGTAATTCAGGCCCGATTGTAGTGATTAAAGCCGACAAGACTTTTCCAATACACTGATGAACGTCAATATATGACTGTGGCACATTTAGTAGAAGTTTCAAAGCTAGTGAAAGACTCGGTTCGACGTATCCTCGGAACATCGGACCCCCCGAATCCGCGATTAGTGCTAACGCATGTAGAGACCACACTTGTACCACTGGTGACGTCTGATCTTGCGCAAGAGCCAACAATATCGAAACACTGGTATTCAGGTGTTGACTTGAACCCATACCTCCGACATACCGATGCAAACAACCGAGAGCTAACGAATGACCAGTCCGACTTGCTACGTCACGTGCTGATTTGAGCCTATCAAAGCTTGTCTGAGCTAATTCAGCGGTGAACTTTGGATCGGATACAACTTGCGCCATACGTCCTACAGCTTCGCCTGCGGCACATCGGAGAATTGGATTAGGCGATGTTAGAGCCCCTATGATTAGTCCCGTAACGGCCTTTTTGACATCTTCTTGACCTATACTCATTTTGGCCTCGGTTAAGCCTTTCAAACCGCTCAAAAGCGCTGTAAATACGTTCATTTGCACCGCTTCTTGGCGCGAACTTTTGGCGTGTTTAATGCATTCGGCGAAATGATCGACCATTTGCAAGCGGTGTTTGTTGGCCACGCGGGGGAAGATTTGGCCGAAGAGAAGCACTGACATGTCGATTACTGCGACTCCTAGAGGAAGTGGACCAGGGATGATTTCGCTCTGAGAAAATAAAACAAACAAAAACATATATGCCAAGTTACAATGTTTGTGACTTACTGTTGAAATTTGGCGGTATAGACAGCAAGGGTCGTGCTCTAGGGCTCCAGAACCGGCCGCACTATTCGGCTGTAACTAAAACGAAAGATCAGGATATCGCATTGAAACACTATGTGTGACAGAAAAAGAGCAAAGCAAACAGATAAACCAAAGAATCACAAACACGGTTACTCACATGTTCACCATCTGCCCTTCGGTTAGGCTCCATCTAAGGAAAAGGTGTTTATTACATTACCTCCACATGACAGAGTGCATTTGTTAGTAAGGAAAAGTTACATAAGCATGACAAGTGTTGGGTTAAATGCTACAACTTACTTGATCTTCAATTGTCCTATGATCAGTTTCTTGCAACCAAGTTCCTAGTATTACAGAATCATCAGCATGACATACAGTTCTCATTTGAGACGTTGTAGTATTTGCCGGATTTTCAGTCAAAGTAAATTCCGCGACCAACATTCGCAACAGATGAGTATAAGAACCTATAAAATTTTTTAATCAAACCGAAAACAAATGCCGGTCACATACTTTCAAAAGATTGTGGTGGAAGCAAAATAAGGGTTTCGTAAAGGCGTAACCGAACCATGGCCGCTGGTGCCTTCAACTGTTGTCCGTAACTTTTCAAAATACTCGATATGCTAAAATATAATTACGAAAATCCTACATTGACAAAAAACAATACATACTTTGATAGCATTGCTAAAGCAGATTCGATGGGTGCTAACAACCTCCTATTAATATCATCAGTGACTAACTCGTGACAGTGTTGCAGAAAACTGTGCATGGCAGATAAGGCCCCAGCTCGGCCTTCGAGAGTGACTTGCCATGTGAAAGCATCACCACGAGCTTTTTCCGAATCTAGTTCTTTAGTTGATCTCGGAAATGAGTTTCTCCAGAGAAGTAACATGCGAGGGAGTAATCCCCTGACTACTGGTACTCCTAGTGTCATTATAGCACCGATAAGTAGCCATCCGGCTTGAGTCCGGTTTAGCGACAGTCGGCTATTTTGACTCGCACTCCTTAGTAATTCTTCTGCTGTATTAAAAATGACTTTGCCTTTGGTGTGTGGGACTCCAAGCGGTGACAAATTGACACCACCAAGTACAGCAGCTAAGGCTCCACTATAGCCGGCTATAGCTTCCGGCGAAGTCCTATATTCTTCGATTCCATTCACACATCGATCTATCAGAGGGGTAATTTGACTAGGAACAGCCACGCAAATACACCGCAAGCACCAAGCAGCTGCAAGTCGGGCTGCTTGACACGGATGGATCAAAACACTAGCAGTAGCATCAATTAAATCTAGAAAAAAAATTGACTCATGCCGACTTAAGGTCAGTAGACTTACTCAGAGTCGGATCAGTAATCAAGTCGTGTGCAGTCGTTCCTAAACTTAAAACCAAACACCCGATTTCTTGCAAGGCACACACTAGTAAATGTTGACTGAAAAGCGTTTCCTGATTGAAATCTTTTGCATTCTCGGGATTAAAATCGATCGAGTTCATTTCTTTAACAATGATCTGTGCGATTTCTTTACACGCTGAAGTTTGTGCTTTTTCTCCCAACATTTTCCCCAACACACTTCTCAAAATAAAATTTATACATTTCCGGGAATAGACAGCATCGACATGTGAAGACGCCGCTTTCGGATTCGCTACCAAATATAATATGTGCGAAAGGAAAGCTTTTATGTTACGTTCAAGCCAAACACTACCCAAAATTTGTACAAAAATCACATATGCCTGAAATTTGAAACATCAAATTAAAGTTGTAAAGGTTTACAAAGAATTACGTGTGTTACTCCGACTCGAACTTCTCGATTAACACTTGAACTACCCTTAATTATTTCTCCTGTACCTTTCAAAAAACCAACACCTCCACGCAAAAATCCCGCCATTAAAATCCCCAAAGCTTCATCCAACGACACCAGTTTCAATCCTTTGAGATGCGCTAAAATTTCGGTGTTTACTATTAAGTACCCAGCGCTTGACATCAAAGTATCGAAAGTAGTTTATAAATAAAAAAAAAACAGGAAACAACGAGTGATTATAATTTTTAGACTTTCGATGCATTGATACACATGTGAAAAATTTTCGTTGCGCTCTTATTCATTTCTTCGTAATGAATGATTTTTAATGAATGAATGTATTTTCTACTATCGAATAATTCGAATGACAGACAAGTATTGAATTATTCGTTAAGATTCATTCGATTGTGACCATCACTAGTGAAAATGCCCCTTACGTGTCTTTTCCGGTTTCTGATTCTGAGTCATAGCGATAAGCGCTCCTAACAATTTAGCAACCGCGCATCTGACTTCGTAATTGGAGCCATCAAAAGCCCGAAAACACAAAGTGGCTAAACTTTCCAATTCGCTGGTGTAGAGAAATGGTGCATGATTTAACATTTCAAGAAGACACCTGGTGGCGGCACATCTCACCGCCATCACCCGATCAATCAAGCAATGTCTCGCTGCTTTATAAATGTCTTTATGTACATTGGATATTGCGTTTCCCATCCCGGCACACACCTAAAAAATCCTTTTAGAAACCCTCGCACCAGACGAAATCCTTACTTTTTCGAGCGTCAACATGATTTCGATTCGAGTTTGAGACTCGGCGCTTCGGAGAGAGCGAGTTAAAATTTGCACGGTCTCCTCGTAGGAACGACCCATCATTCGGCCGAGTTTTTCGTACATTGTCCCGACGCAACAAATTGCAGCTCTAGAAATGATTTGTCAAAAATTTGAATGAGAGACAATCAAAGGAATTACAATCGCGTCGGGAGAAAACTAGGAGAGTCGTCTTTGTTTTTCAAAATATCGTTGCATTTGTTCACCGTGTCGAAAAGTAAAAAAGTGTCTCCGACTGAAAAGAGGGTGGCGAGAGAACGGGCTATTAATTTACGTGTCGGAGGACCGGGAGATTCTTGAATGTGATTCATTAGTTGTTCTACTAATTTCTTCTGACATCCTTTGATGTCGTTCTGGAATTCATATCTAATCAGACTTTCTTTACAGCTAAACATCCTGTTTGCTTGTCACAATTTCCGGAAGTGTGTCCACTTACCTTTTGTGCGGCGACTAAAACTTTGTCTAAAAATCGAAGCCATTCGAATATAAAAACAGGTCTTTTCGCTGGTGGTATTTGTGCCAAAGCTTCTTCATTAAGTGTTAAACTATGCGATAGTTCCATGATAGAAAAAATATTCAAATTCAGTCTCCTATAAAAGAAAAGAAATTGACGTCTGTTCGAAATTCGTTAAAGTTGTATCATCCTATACCTATACCATTAGATAAAAGATAAAAGTGCTATTTCCCAAGGGAGTGCACTCGACACGAATTCACCTATATCACCGCCAAACTTTACCTTAAAAAATATATACTATTTCGTATATTTTATAAAATAATATATCAAGGTGGAATTTATTTATTACATTGTACCTACGTGTCAACATTAAAATTCAATTATTTTATAGAAATAGACTCAGGTGTTCTGTTTTTGTTTGGGTAATTTAGACGCCACAAATATTAGACTAGACAAACATCCCCGATACGAAATATATATACAGAAACGTGCAACATAAGGACTGATTTTAAAAATTCAACAGCGCCAAATTGAATATTCGGAGAAAAATTTAATAAAAAAAAAACGACCAGGCAATTAGCCTGGTCGTTTTTTTAGCCAAAATAATCTTTTAGTAGGCGTATTGTTACAAATTGAAGATAATAACCGCTTAATTTATTATTGTATTGTAAAGAAACATGAATGTTGTTACAAAATAAAACGAATCATAGTAATCATACCTATGTTGGTAGTCCATTGATTTTTCACATTTCAATCAACTACTTTGTGTTAACATTCAAATTCAAATTGTCACGGAAAAGGAAATGATAAGATGTGTTGCGGAAAAACCGACTGCATCGTCTGGAATGAGACAAGATAGCGCATGCCCTTTCCTTGTATTTTAATTTAAAGGGAATAACCTTTGCAACACCTGGTCCAGAAAGCCACAATTGAATCAAAATCAATTTTCTCTCTTTCGAGGAAATTTACACATTTTCATAACATTAAATTAACAAAAATTTTGATTTACTAAAAATTTGTGTTGTAACTAAATTAGAGTAACGGTTTAATGAAATTTGCTTGAAATTTAATTAAACTGTGTCTCGTAATTAATTTAAATGAAACTGTGAGTCACTAAGTCGATGTTTATACCATACACCAATTACTGAAGCTGTTACCCATTTCTCAAATACGAAGAAAAAACAAACTCGAGGCAATCTCTCCTCTTAATTACCCAATCCAGTGGTGTAAAAATAATCAATTTTAGTAATTTTGCAGCACACATTTCTAATTTTACGTGTAGATTTGGAATTAAGATAGAAAAAACAATAAATCAGAAAAGTAGGGTAAAAGCCCCAGGACTGAATTGGACAATTTGGGTAAACAAAATAAGAGAAAACTTACAATTACTGATTTTAATTAAGCCTTTTTTTCTGGTGTCATAACAAATAAGCCGATTTTTTGGAAAAAAAGCACAAACCAGAAAATTACACAAAACACCACAAATGACACAAAAACCAATGACAGCTGGCACTATTGCCAACATTGACAACGCGCATGACTCTAGCCAGCAGGAAGAAATATCGATGTGTAAAAATAGGAATTTGTGAAGTTTTTCCTTAACTGGCATCATAAAACGCTTATTTTAGAGTTATTTATATTTAAATGTGCTTTATTACATAATAATATTTCAAATATTACTCAACATCAGTTGTGTATTGTTGGTTGCCTATGAACCTTTGTTGTGGCGGGTAATTAAAACACAAAAAATATTATATAACAGTTTATTTTACATAGTCTATGCTTTTAAAAAGTATTAACATTACATTTAACGTAAAAGAAAGGATTTTGAACAAACAAGGCGTCCAGTAAAAACGTCTGTAGTAAAATGTGTTTATCGCATGATACAAGATCTATTTCATTCAAAGCAAAGCACACGTAAATCACACTCAAATAACAAAAGCCATAGACGAATAAAGCAAGCTACCAATATCGTGTTGGTCTAAGATGTCTTTTTTACTATAGATATGTTTAATTTTGGCTAAGTGGCTGTATTACACCCCACCATCATCTTTACCTAACAATGATTTATATCGACCTATAACAACACGAAATAAACAATTTTCTTCCTAGAATTTACATCATTATACACTGACCGACCCTGGGTTTGGTTCAATGAGGGTCTTTTTATAGTTTAGTGTAAGTTTTTGCAAACACGAAAGAACCTAAGATTCGAAAACCAATTTTATGGACGGGTTAGCTCTACGAATCTAAACGAGGCGTAAATTTCTAACAGTTCATGAAAATTCGTAACAGTGATTGTTTGAATTTTCATGAAAGTAACGCTATACAAAGTTATGTAACAAATTTCAACATATATCACTAGAATTTTGTAAAAATATAAATCTTTTATCGCTAATTAATTCAAAGTTCAAACGTGCTTGCTTGGAATAACAAATACTGAGTTTCTCATGATAACAATAGTTTTTTAAGCATTAGGTGTATATTTAACAATGTGGTACTAAAATTGTGCCTATAGTGCATCGTATAAGTGTCTTAAACCTAGTTTACAAATATCTAAAACTTAGCTAAGTCATAAAACACATGAGAGATATGTTTATGGATTCAGTCATTGTTGAAATAACTAAATTACACTCAATGCCCTTCAATGACAAATACAAAAGTGGTCCAGCTGATCTCACTTTTCCAATTCTCCCTCACTGATTATGCTTTGCTTAAAAATTGAGGGAAATTTATGATAGGTACATACATCTCTAGTGCAACAAATTTGACTAATAGCAACACGGAACTTACAACAGCAATTAGATGAGTGGGTTTTGATGTAGCGACATTGGTCGTAAAGTGAATAAAGTTCGGTTGTTGAAGGACATTGACCCTGTCTTAAATTTCAAAAATATAATTGTAGCAAAATAAAATACATTGTTAAAGCTATTATGATATGCATATAATTTATGTAAGCCATGACATTCCATTAGTAAAGCATTTATGCATATAAAACGAAAATTTTTGTCTGGCTGAGTAGATGTCAATAACTCACATAGGAAGACATTTTAAGATTGTACGTGATTGGATGCGTTAAAAACAAGATGAATGAACAATGTAAAATGATCTGAGCAATAATTTTAGAAAATGATTATGGGATGACAAACTAGTCTATCCTAAAAGATAACAAACTAATATTAACAGTCAACACTGATATGTACAAAGTGATTATTTTAACCAAATAGTTCGTGTCCACTCAGACACTTACTTCTTATATTGATTAGATTAAGTTTCATTGTAAAAGGATATGTATCGAATTGTGTTTATTAGCTTTAAACAGTCTTAATGTCACGATGGTGTTGTCAAGAGCTTTTGAATAAATTTTGTTAACAGTAATGTATATACTAACAAATTATGAGCTAATGAATACGTTTTGGATGTTGAATTTGGCTCTATTTGCACAATTTCCACTTCCGCCATCTTGAAAATAGACAGCAAGAGATGTGATATGAAGTCCGGATTACGTGAGTTTATTCTATCACTTATTATTTCTAACAGTTCGGCACACTCTTCCTGAAAAATGAACAAACATTTTGGGACAAATTCAACCTGAAGTCACATTTTACAAATCTTCTTTCACAAAATCCCAGTTCTATCAACTGGAAAATTGTCCACTAAACTGATCAGCTTTAATAACTAGAGCTTTGGTTGAGTTTTCACGCGTTACAGCGTGTAATCAAATTTAATTGCTTGTTTTTACTTTTCTGACAATTTGATGTATAGGTCAGAAACTAAAGAAAAAATCACTGCTGTAATTTGGTGTGAAATAATAGAGCACTTGAGTTTGCATGCAATCATTGCGGTAAATTCCCCTCCTCCCCAAATCAAAATTGCCTAAATAAGTCAAAACAAAGCAGGTGGACTTGTTATTGAAAATTCGTTTGCCAATTTTTTTGCAAAGAAAACCAATTGCCGTTCCAAAAGCAACAAAAGAAATACAGAGGTCATTTGCTTTGTTTTGTATCGAGCCATACTTGAAAAAACTTCAATTATCTTGCTTTTTTCTGTCATGCAAATGTTTAAATCTACATATTTTTGATTTTAATTTAATCTTGAACTTGGGGCGAGATTTATTAAGGAACACTGGTTTATCGCAGGCGTGACATTTCCCCCTGATTTATAAAATAAAAATTAGGCAAGTCGGTTTAAAGTAATCGAATAAAATTTTACTTCAATTTTTTATGCTTTGTTAACTTACCTGCATATGTTCTTTTTTGTTTTTTAGACAAGGAGCACTGTTTACGATATTGATGGGTGTAATTTTGAAAGGGTCAAGGTTTTTCGAATCATTTGTAATACGGTTTTATTTATTTAGCTAGAAAAACTATGATAACAAGCGATCGGTTTGTAATTACTCGACGTTTACAAGGACCGATCGAGTCATTTTTCATGAAATGTGATAAATTTCTTGGCCCTTGTAGTTTTTGTAAGTGGAACAGTTTGTCAAGATAATCGGTGGTAAAGCGAGGTTGAAATTTATTATTTATGGCGAAATAAATCAGTCTTTTGTCCTGTAATTGTCGAAATCAAGAAGTTTAATTTGCTTTAGAATCTTGTTGACTGTGGGTATAGTGATGTGGTGAAGGCTTGTACACAATAGCTTCATGAAGCGAAGGAAAAATATACGTGGGGTAGAAGCAGAGCTATTGAATATTGTGTATAGATCCTAAATCATAAAATTTCAATAGTTTGAGTCTATCGATCAGAAAGTTTAAATACAATTGAAAAAAATCTTCACGTGTTAGGCTAGGGGAAGGTCACGTAATGGTTGTATTCAAAGCGTTATCGAACCAGCTCCAGTGTATCAGAATAAAAGGTATTATTAGAATTATTTATTTAAGAATATCGGTAGATCGATAACCGTTATGTGACAAACAGAAATAGGTACGGACTGCACGACTATTTACCTTCTCTTTAGCTAAGCTTTCCATCGGAGAGAGCATACTATAATTAACCTCCTCCGACAATTTCCCTGCTATAATGACATTTTCTCTCGTCAAGTTAAATAATTCGAGAGAACACAGAGTCTGGAAAAAAGTAAAAAGCAAACGATCAGAATACTATTTGATTTTATTCTAGGTTTTTTTAAGAAGTGTGAAAGGAATCTTACTCCGTTGACGGCCTCTTCTTTGATAAAGTTTTGCAAAACTCGGACAACATCTTGAACGACAACTCTGGTTTGATTTATATTAAGTTTCCTTTCATCAACTTCGCTATATCCGAGAAATAGAAAAACTCCTTGTGGCAAGGTGTAATCACTAGGGGGCGGTTTCATACAAATAAACCGGCCCGAATAACACAAACACCTCCCTCTGTATGCTTGATACGAGGGTGCAGCGTGGTTATAGTATGCGAATTCCGTTTTGCAAGGCATTCGATCTATACAAATGGTTTTACAGGATAACTTTTCCCCTATTTCACATTCGCAAACGTCCGAACATTCGAATTCATCTTCGTGATATATCTGAAAGAGTAAACATACAGGATTTTAATATTCGTTATCTAAGTAAAAAAGCTACATTCTCATCCAAAATTAACGCACAATGTGAAACTGGAAGAAAAGGAAGGAAACTGGCCTTAAAAGGGCCGAAACGATTTTTTGATAATGACAGTTTGAAGCTTGACCTTGCACTTCTTTATTTTTTTTATTTTAGATGTGTTGTTGTAATAGGCAAAAAAGAGTTTGTACAAATGCGTTAATTTTGTAGTGTAGTGTATTTTTGGGTTAATAATGAAGACGCTTTGCTCTGAGTTGTGTAATAATGAAGTGCGTCTTTGGGAAATCAGTTAATTAGAGTTTGTGGGTTAGTTGGTGTAGGTTTCCGGATGAAGTAAAGTGCACGTGCACGGTTTGAATACTTACCCTTTTAAATGAACCTTCTTTTATATATTGGTTGGGAAATTGTGGTCTCGGAAACACACAGTACTCTGGAAACAAAAGTCGTTTAGAACGGAGCACGTACGTGTGTAGAAGTAAAAGTCTATTGCTTGGAGTCTCGTTATATTAATTGGATGCGATATAATTAAATTAAAATTAATTACTTGGAGGAATAGTCGTGGTTGCCATCGCCGTAGTGGTCGTTGTGGCAGTGGTGGTTGTCGTCGTAGTCGTTGATGTCGGAATGAACGGTTGAGGGGGCGGAATGAATTCGGCGATTGTGTTTTTTCGGGTTTGTAATGGAGCTTCGGTGGCGGTCATCACAGTTATATGATGAATGGCGAAATTGGGACGTGTTCGGACCTCCAAAGGGGTGGTGGCTTTAGTAGTTGAAGGGGTCGTAAGTGCCGCCAATTCTGCCGCCTTTTTCATATGAAAGTCCTTTTGAGATTCCACTAAAAAGGAAATAGCAACACTTCCTCATAATATACACTGCTTTCCAGAAACAGATCAACTCACCCACACATGGGTTTACCCAAAGCAGTCGCTGCCACCCTAAACATTCGTAAAGCTCGGTCATGTCGGTGCCTTTACAAGCACACGTTGCTCTCAAGTTCGTGCCCAAAATGCCCAACATGGCACTTCGGCACTCGGCAGGGGAGCCCGCACATTTTTTCGTAACACTGTCTACAGCGCAAGATTGCTCGTAATACTCCAGTCGAGATCTAAAAGGTTGTCAATAGTTATTTATTGTAGAATTAAATTTACACTTGGTCTACTCACCTGCACTCCTTATTTTCTCGACAGTTTTTGGCCAATGACAAGCAGGTCGGTTGGGGTAAACCTTCAATTCTCTGGGCGCAAACAGGGTGAAGTTTTTCTTGTGCTATCAAACACTGATCCTGCTTATTGTCTGTTTTTCTATAACAGAACCCAATTTTTTTCTTAAAATCACGGTTTTATAGTAGACAACTCAACAAGATTTTAAATGTAATGTGTATTGTTGTAAATTATGTTTATACTTACGGTGTATAATGTAATATACTAAAGCAAATAAAATAAAACGTGTTTTATTTTTTGGAAAAATTGGGTCCAAGTCAAGGAGCTATTGAGAATGTTTGATTTATACTGTAATTTCAGCGTAAACAACGTCTTTGATTGTTTCACTTCATCATATCTTTTGCACCTGCTTTGATTTCAAGCTTCGCTAATAAATTAAATACCGTCTAGGGGTAAATTTTGCTCGGTCTTTTTGTTTCGGTAAGAAGAGAAAAGGACGTGAATTGGTCGAGTTGTCGATATTCGGTTATTTTTCAGCTGGTTCCGTAATTTTAAGTGAAAGCTTGAAAAGCTCGTAGATGATGTCGTTAAGAAGTTATATGGCAGGTTCCATCGTTGAATTAAGCCTTTTGCCCACTCTAACAGCGCAATAACCGAAAGAGGGAAAATTTCATTTTCCACATATTACTCGCTGATTCAGATACAATTTACTATTTTACACAGTGTAACAAAGTTGTTGATGCCTGATTGCCTATTTCAGGGAAAACTTAACAGTGGATGTCGAATGAAATTAGTAAGAAAGTATTGATTGTTGAGGAAAGAGGTATTGTTGATTATTGTTTTCTACTATAGCCGAATTAATAAATGTGTGAGGGTCTGTCGGTATCAGAATGTTGGAGTTTGGAGATTAGGTGTTTGTGTGGCGAAGTTAATTAATTCGTGTTTTAACTGTATGATATAGACCTTGGGCTACGTAATGAAACAAAGCGTACTTGCAAAGACAAAAGGCGATTTCGACGTTCCAAGGGAGACTTGGTTTTCTGTAAAAACTCTGAAGAGCTTCCATACAGGAGTTTCTGTTGCATCTAGACATGTCGCAGTGGTGTAAGATGGGGTTGAGCGACACTTTGCAGTGGTAGTTGTTATTGCAGCTTTCCATTGCTAAGTGGCAGGTGCTTTGAAATATTATCTTTGCTACCTCGTTCGAGTCTGAACGGCTATGGTCAGTAGAACCTGAAAGGAGCCCTATTCACTGACAATCACTTAGATCTAGATGAAGGAGGTGTGTTTATCTGACACTCAAACTTTCTCGAATTCGATTTACTTTATTTATCCTCGCTCTTAATATACAGAGATGCACGACATGCTCGGCAAAGTAAATCGCAAAATTACGACGTTTTCTACATTGAAAGATAATTGCACGACGTCCTGGAGAGGACTTGAAAAATTTAGTGGGGCGGAATTGAAATTTCAATTAATAATTAGCAGGAACGGTCGAGCAATATACGAAAAATGACATGCCGAGATGGATAGTCGTAGGTCCGGGGCCGAGGGAGACATGTGCATCACAGGACTTGTTCGTATAATATACCAGAAGATCATTCTGCACAAGTCGAGCGCATGAGATATGAGAGATAACACGCAATAATAAGTATGTATAATATATATAAAGTATAATAATACGTGCGATCCCCAAACAAGAGACCATGCAGATGGTTCTACGTGCCGGGGTACGAAGTGCTCAAACATGTGCACGACTTCTATTGAATTTCAAGAATCTGGCTAAAGGCTTACTGAATTCGCATGCACTCTGCACTAGGCCGAACGGACACGACGCAGGACGAAGGACCAACTTTTAAACCCGTTCTTTTATTATAATGGTAATCTTAACCTTATACTTCATCTTGTGGCAAGCTTTCTCATATTTAATTTTACAAATCGTTTACAGAGATTTTATTAAAAGTCGATAAAAAATTTCAACTTTGCTAAGAAGAGCTCCAGGCATTAGACGTAGTTTAAATTTTATCTTCCGAGGGTATCATCATTGTAACAACTCTCAAATCGCAACAGTTTTCAAGAGAATTTCGATTTTGGTCAGCGAATCGCGCGCACGCAATCTTCATTAAATCCATTATTTTATTAGCAAATTTTGGTTAATCATTTCCAGATTACGCTACCTTTACTACCAATCGGCAGACAATATCTTGTAAGCTTTTGCAACAATAAAACAAACGGAAATTGAAACATAATGCGAGTTGGAGTTGCCATATCGGGTGTTTCAGTCAGCGCTCTCCAAATCAATTCTCACTTATTTATTATACAACAATTTTAATCTTTTGTAATATTTGTAATTGTTTTTTTTATATTTAAAACAATTTAGTTCTAACTAGTTGTTTTATTAATAGTGAACGTATGACGTTATAAAATTTCATTGTTAGAATAATTAAAGTATAATTAAAGTAAAAAATTTTTAAAACCGAAACGACATTCTAAAATTAAAATATTCAAGGTTTAAAAATGTTAAATCAACTGGCAAAACTAAAATTATCAGCAAGTAGCGATATACAGGATTTTGATAAAAAAAAACTACTTATCTGTAAAGCAAATTATATTATATTACGGTGCCTGTATGTAATAATTTACAAATCTCTTTTATTCCACTATAAAAAGAATGTGCTTGTTACTGTCTATAGAATGATGTTCAAAGCGCGAATCTTAATAATACCACTCAAAAACTGTTATGTTTTGTTTTGTAATATACGGTAGACAAGTTGAGAAAACTTCTGTTGAAATTGGATTTTTAGCAATTTTTGCACTGAATCGACGACTATGAAAGTAAAATAATAAACAAATAAAAACATTACACTCTCGACTTTATACCGAGCGCAGTTTTAGCGTTTCGAACAAAAGATAAATTGATTGATTGTCTAAAAATTCTAAATACTATAAATTCAAGCCTTCACGCGCGAGGACCATTTAGTAAGTTATTAAAAGTGAAGATATTATTGCTTCTTGCCTTTAAGAATTTTGTGTTACATCAGTTTCAAATTTGAGGTGGAAGTAGTTATAGTCTGAGAAATAAGCCTGAGAAGTTGTAAATGGAAGCCTATGGGAGTAGTGGGCCTCGTTTGAGTGCGGTCGGCGCAGCCTACTTGTTGGTTTGTATGAGATTGAGATTACCATATAATAGGTGGCCGGGTGTGATATACAGACCCAGGTGTGCTCGTCGCCGCCTGCCCGGTCGACCCGCGAGTCCCTCGAACGCCCCGACGACCGGACTGGCCCAAACCCCGGGGTTGCACGAGCATCCAGCTCATATTTAGTAATTTTAGTAATTCAGTATAAATTTTTGCAAAGTGTAGCCCCGGAGTCGCGGCGCTCGTATACCTACTTGGGTATTTTTGGTGTTGTGCGGACACTCCGCCCCCTACCGCCGCCCCGTCGAGGTCCTCTGGGTAGGGATTGATGTTAGAGCTCACCGATGGTTTTCCATTGTTCTTTAAGACACTCACACTGATGTGATTGTGGTCAGCGTGCGCGTCCAGTCCGTTGGCCGCGTCTACTAGCGGGTTTTCGACAATGGCATTGCCTAGCCCGTAGTCAAATGAGGCAGACGTATTGTCCGAAGCTGAAATCAGCTTAACTGAAATGATGAAGTCGACCGATCTGCGCTACGCTAACAAGGCGAAAGTACAACCAACCAAAATCAAAACCAAAGGAAACATTGTATGAACATGTTATACGCATAGAAGAAGTAGTAACTTGTAGAGAAAGTAACTTGTAGAGAAAGCGCTCTCACCCGGAACGACGAGCTCTGGAAACTGTAAGGAGGTGACGAGCGTCTCTTCTACGGACGAGTGAGAGCCAAAGGCCGTGCTGTTGGTGCCGGTAGTGGAGGCAGTGGCAGTGGCTGTGGCTGTGGCTGTGCCCATGCCAGTGATTGTGCCGGTGTTGCTGTGCGTGCGGAAAGTGCCATGGGCTGTGCCGTGCACAGTTGAAGGGGGAAACAAAAAGTACGGATAAAGGTTCGTAGGGGGCGACCAGAAATTTCTAATAAATTCCTGATCAGGATCGAGTGGAGGTTGTGCAGGTTTAGGATCTGGAATAGGCGGAAGAATGTCTGAAACAAAGTAAATCAAGAAAAGGATACCAGGTCGAAATGGAAACCAAACGAACATCAACATGCTTTGGTGCTAGTTTGACCAAAATCCGGAAACAAGTGCTCCGACATGCAATAACAAACAATTGGTTATCGAACGAGGAGTAGGAGTTTGTTGATCAAGACGACTTTCTTCCTGACATTCCACCTCTAAGCAATATACCATAATCGGATCCTTTTCCTTCCTATCTTTCTTTCTTTTCTTTCATTCATTCAATCGCATCGTCACCGTATCATTCACCCCTTAACGTGGAATTAAATCAATGTTCTCTTGTGATCGTGCAAGCACATCGGATTAAAGGATTGGAAAAAACTGATCAGATTGTAAGGTCAGAGGATATATGCTATAGCCGCACAAGATGGCCGGACAAGGATTCGATCCTTACTTACCCACGCAGGGATTGTGGTTTACCATGCTGAAAATTCTATCGCATCGCTTCTTGTTATGGTTATTCGGACATATACACCCGAACATTGGCGAGCGACGCAAATTTGTCCACGACTTGTGACACAGATCTCTGCAAGATGCGGTGCTTGCGATAAAACCTCGGCTACTTAACGCTTAACTTACCTGTCGTCCATGCGACATTTGTTATCTCGCACCTTGCAGTTGGATTTGAAATCCTCGTATAGTTTCAGACATTTGCCTTCTTGTTGGCATACGGATAAGGCGTAATTGCACGTCGGCAAAGCGTCCACAGGGTAAGGGTCTTTCTCTATAAAATAATCAACCAGACAATTACTCGACCTGCTATCACAACTTAACGGAGAATTTTAACACGAGGCCGACTTCTGGCATCATTTACCCTTTAGCTTTCTCAAAACACTCAATCGCAACAACCGATAAAGCAATCAAACAAGTTCAAATAAAAAAGGAAGTACTAAAAGTTGAGCTCGCGGCAAAGAACGCGTTGGACCGACAATCACGAACGGAAGTGGAAAACAACGAAAACATACGGTTCAACAAGACGGCCAATTGCCTATTTCAATGCGACTGGACGATATTTATGGCAGAGGTTCTCGCTGGGATAGTACAAACTACAAATTAAACGCGATCTGTAATATGTGCCCATTCTTCAATCCGGACGTCCACCGTTTAACTGCCGGAACTAAAACAACTTTCAACCATCCGGTATCCGACACAAACATTCTATTAAAACGAATTCATCAAATTATGCCCTTAACTTAAAAAAAAAAATGGAAATCTTTGAATATTTTATTTTACGTAATATGCAAAACAATATGTAGTATTTGAAATAATTATAATATCTTAAATGTTTCCCATTTCTGTCTTAGTAATACACTGAACTGATTCATGTTGTAAACAATTTTTTCAATTACGCTGCTAACAGCATTATTAAATTAAAAAAAATGTTTTATTGTTGATAAAAAACAAACACTTTAAAACGTAGATATAAACAAATAGAATAGAAGAATTTTCATATTAATTATAAGTAATTATAAATTTTGTGTTTAACGAGAAAAATGTGGAAACAGTGTTACATTTTTTTGAAATGCTATAAAAAACGAATACTTTTAGTTGAGTCGTTTTTTATACTTATTAATGAATTTTTATTCGCTTCGCTATAGCCATTTGTTTGTATTTTCACTGAGGCGCCGTAAAGGTAAACATTTTATTTTTCTTTATTCGTCAATTAAAACAAAAGATTTGGTGAAAATGCGAATAAATGCATTGTCGCCGGTTCAGTAGGTGTGGTATTAAAAAATGTAATGAAATAAATTCGTGCATTTGGTATTCAAACGCTGATTCTCTCCGTTCGATGTAATCTAAATGAGCTGCGAAATGGCGTTAACAAAAAAAATCCACAATGCGAAATGCACCTTGGAGATAGAAAAGAATTAGATGTCGTTAAAAATACTAAAATACGGAAATGAGTCTCTGGCACGGTTGTTTCCGAACTGTTGTTTCGCGCGAAAAATCCATTTTCACTCTTGAACTAGTTTTGAATAATTGGTGTCGTACTGGTAGTATTTTAGTGCAATGGCTGAGGCCTGGCTTTTGAAAATAATCTTTGAGCTGATACTGAAATAATTAACATACGAATGACACAAGACTAATTTTTTTGGCTGGTTGTTTTAATAGATATTCGTGAGTAGACTTTAAAATTAATGGAAAATAGTGAAAACTCATTCAGACGTCTAGATTTAGTTAAAGCCAGAGCATATTGTCCCTTTTGATTAGAGTGACCGGAAGCAACACCCCTACGATTGTGTGTTGGAAAAGGAAAAACTTTATGTCTCTGGGTGGTTTTCCTTTTCGCGTATCGTTTTCAGCCTCATTTCCGTTCGTTACGTCAAAATTTTACGATGGAGGTTATACATATTTTGAAATTTTATTATTAGATTACTCCGTAAGTTGAAAATTTCGAGGCCTACGTATCTCGAGAAGAGTTGACTTTAAGGTCGCTTCATAAACTTGCCATAGTGGCTAACATGAATTCAACATCAAGATGTCTTCATGGCAACCGTAAAATGCACCCCAACCCTTATATCACTGCAATCACCGAGTGGACTTTAACACATAACCCTCGGCTCAAACGACTTCACCCAAAGTGATCACGTTTTCCGGAATAAAAACCATCGATTCGGTTATAATTAGAACAGCGTAGTCATTTTCTTATTTATGTTTCAGGAGTAATACATTCAATACCAGAGGTAAACAGTCATTTGATTGACTTTATTTGTTATTTATTCACAAAAGTAATGTTTGTTTTCGTATAGGAGATCTTCGCGATAAAATATTGACACATTAATATTTCATTTGTTGAGAAAATTTACCTTTTTTTGTGACGAATATACAGGGATGATCGAAGAGAAAGTCCCTGAAGGAGTTGCATTCGGGATCGGCGTGAGGTTCCCGACACAGACATGTTGGTTTGAAGAAAGGAAAAGCTTGAAGAGTACGAAGGGCTGCCTGGCATTTCGTTACAGTCACTGTTGAACACGCGACTGAAAAAACAAGTTTCAAACTCTTAAAACATTTATCCATTTAACAGACTTCAAGTTTACAAAACATCAAAACTTCTCTTTCGTTTTAGTCAATTATAAAACGTAAATTATTTCCAACCGAATTTGAAAAAAGTTAAAATTTATTTCGAGAGTGGCGCCATTAATTATTATTGAAGCAGCTATTAAATTATCTGAAACGTAAGCGTCCGTGGCGTGTCTGAACACAAGTGGAGCGATTTGCATAGATCTTGCTTGTACGACCTTCCAACCCTTATTCAACATTTGCATCCTTAGCTTACATTAATAATGGTAATGTGTACCTGAGCACAGCGTAATTGGTGTCATTACATATTCTTATTTAACAGTGTATGCCCTCGTTTTATTAAAATTTTTCTTTTATTTTCCTGATTAAAACTTGTTTGAAGATAAACCGACTCGAGTCGAAAGTGTTTTATTTTATAACGATTTTAAGTAGAGGAAGGATTACGTCATGTGTAAGCATCGATTGACTTTCCGACTCTATAATTTGCAGCTGTTTTAAAATAAATACAAAGGTCAGGAGTTTATTTTAAGATCAATATTGAAACAACTTTCCAAGTTTGGTACACTTGCTTAAAATATTTTACGCAAACATGTTTGCTCATATCATTTGTCAAACAATAGAATTTTCAATTCGGTTATCTTCAGACTGAATCTACATCATCAACATAAAGCAGGTTAATGTACATTTAGGAGCTCTAGTCCAGGTCAGTATCGGAAATGAGTAGAACAGAAATAGCCCGGCGCATCCACCAATTTGTAGCCTGTCTACTGTAATTCCGTTAGTGAAGCTCAGTTAACATCGGTCGAATAAATTGCTAGATAAATACGAAGTGAATCTACTAACTGTTAGCACTTTCAATATCACTTAAAACAACAAAACTTGTGCCTGTTACATGTTTTCCATTATTCCATTTAGTCTCAAATTTTGAGACTTTGAAATTTTCAGGGCTTGTTGATCGAGATTAGCCAGGAGTGTAAGCACGATAAGCACGTGTGGCGGCGGCTAGTGGAGGAGAAGTGGCGAAAGTAGAGAGCGCGCAAAGAGTGGTGAGTCATCGTGGAGACAAGCAAGGGTGAACTATTTAGACAATGGAGTGAAGTGGATGGAGGCGGCGGAGGCGACACGCTCAAGCCGCTAGAACAGTGCAGGCCAGAACGCTTTTATAAATTATTCAAGGTGCTGTATTGATCCGGGGTTCCTTTGCGCTCCTTTACCCCGTATGTGTGAATTTCAACTTGGATATCTTTGATCCGCGCTCTTCGCGAATGCCGCAACGACTTACTTCCCTGACCTACGAGAACTTGCCGCACTTACACCTGCTAGTTATCCAAATTGACGCCATCCCGGGCGAATGCTTTTCCAGGAACATTGACACAAAGCGTCACTATCCACTGACGTCAAAGTGTATTTCATTTCAATTCCATATCGGTGATTAACGACTCCAACTCATCAAATTGAGAGGTGCAAAATCGCCTTTAGGTCCATTTTTAATTGCTTTTTAAAAAGAATAACTTATACTAATAAACAACTAAAAAACATCATTAATACAAAAGATAAAATAATAATGATTTTGTTTAGTTTAATGGTTATTTATTCGACGAGTTTGAGTGTAAAATCTGACGCTTTATTTCACCGAGTGGATTATTAAACCACGAATGTTAACAAATTTTTACTCCACGGTTTACATTTATTCCTAAAAGTGACCGCTTTTATAACGTTTGTAGATAAATAAATAATACAACTTTAATGCCTTGTTGTACAACTATTTTAGACCTAAAATAAACAGTTGTATTTTTTCTTATTATTAAGATGTTAATTTCCCAAGAAAATATATAATCAAAAATATTTTTTCTACGACACTATAAGACAGATGTACGTTATTATAACGCACGGTTATAAAGTAATAATTTACTATTATCACGTATGTTGCTATTTTGTTTATCTGCAACGAACGCTCAGAAGCAAGAGAAACGTCAAAAATTTTCGAGCCATTTTTGAGCTAACGGATTTTGGAAAGGTTACAGTTATAACACTTTCCATGGGTTTTTATGTTATATTATTACAATCTAAACTATCAAATTAGTAATCTGACCATTAATTTCATTGATTCTAAAAAATAAATATTTTTGCAATAAATGACTTTTTTAGTGTCGTAGGGAAAATAGCGTACAAAACTCGTTGGAAAGTATCTAACACACTCGTGGGGCTTCCCACTTGTGCGTTAATTATTTGTCACTTTCCATGCTCGTTACGTAATATATTATAATTGAGCCATACTTCAAATTAACAAAAACTCCTGTTATATACAGGTGCGGCAGAACTCGCGCCCCAGAGAAAAAATCTATAAAAATTTCGAAGTTATGAGAGTTTAAATTTTGCACTTTGATTCTATCTATTTAATTCTGTTGAAAAAATAATTTTTCAAGTTTTTTTGCTACAGGCTATTCTATTAGAAGAGGAAACAAGGAAGCTGAGTCCTAAATTGTAACCCTGTTTAATGTTATTTGTGGCTTTTATTGGCAAAATTTTTGTACCTTTACTAAATAATTATAAAAAACATATACAAGATCATCACTAACATTAAATAGACATAAAAAATGTCAAATGTCAAAAAATAAATGTCAAAATTCTTTAACAGATAGAATTTTTTAAACATTTTTTCCATGTTCCTGGTATCTTATCTTACATCGCATTTTTATCTGGGGCGCGAGTTCTGGTGCATCCTGGTAAGTTCAACTTACCAAATTTTGGATAATTTACTAAAACTGTAAAATTGGCGTAAATTTATTTTGTAATTGTAATTGTAATGCTTGTCGCCCAATTAAAAAAAATTGATAATAATGATTTGGTGTTTTTTGTGGTTTTGGCAGCTTCTTGTACCTATTTTTATTATTCAGTTCAACTTTTTTGGTTTATTTTTTCTTATTAAGTACATACATATATATATATATATATATATATATATATATATATATCGAATTATCTAGTATTAATTTTATAAACGTTTGTCTTGGATTTATCGTAAATATGTATAATGTAGAAAACTTGAGCTATAAAGAACTATTTAACCAAATGAGCACAAATAATTAGATTATGCATTAGCAACTGACAGAAAATTCAAATAGGTATCCTAAAAGAAAAATAGTCTTTTATTTTTTTTTAAAACATTGATTTCTGGATCATATTTCTGTTTTATATTAAACTGATTTGTAGGTGGTAAATAAATTTTATGTTAGGACGCAAAAATTATAACAGATCAGCAAAAAATGTTCAGGCGATTATTAAAAATTAAAGTTGTTTCTTAAATTGATTCGGAAAAATGTTAACTGTCAGATTAGAAATAGGTGAGCCCTGGGAAAAACATTTTTGTTTTAAAATGTTTCTTAAATTACTTATGTAACTTTTGGAAGTTTCGTTTACAAGTGAGAAGTAAGGTTTCCATAACGTTGGATGAAGTTTGGTTTGTATTTTAAGAACACATTAAATTTAATTAACTATTATTAAAAATGAACTCTTCTTATTTTGTTTTTCTATTTAATTAGCAAGTGTAGTTAATATACATTTTTGCACTGTGTGTACAAAATAAAAATTTAAAATATTCTGAAAGCTGGCAATTGTTATAAATGCTGATATCTGTGTACACTCTATTATTGTCATTGAATATTCGAATTTAATGTAAACGGATTTTAAATTTAATAACAAATTTTATTCAAATTTGTGTACAATGTGTTACGGTTTAATTAGTTTTTGGTTATTGAAAAATTATCGAGTTTTGTTTATTGTTTGTTGATAGTGTTGCTTACGTGGCAAGGATATAGAAATCCGGGTAATATTATATTATTTGATGTGAAAGGAATACGTTCGTCTTCACGTTGCTAATTCAAGTACATTCAAAATTGCATTAAACAGGCGTAATTTATTAAACAAAGCGAAGTATGTTTGTACGTGAGTTGGCGTAGATTCGTAATGAGCTGAGTTGGAGTAATTTTAGCTTTTTTAACAAGTAATAATAAAGTGAAACAAAACAAGTTCGAGTGTTTATTGACGAAGTTAACATTGTAATTTAGTGAGATTTTTCGAAGCTTTAGCTCAATTATAATAATTTGTTGTATGTTTAAAATAGCAGAGTGTTCTTTCCTGCTGATATAATTTACATCTCGAAATGAGTTCTGGTTGGAGTTTATTTCGTATTTCCATTTCATGTTGATACTTGACTTATGCAGGTCTGATTTGTTCTCGGGTAGCAATGCCAACTCGCATACAAAACAAACGTAAACATTTAGTTTCAACTTGTGGATGCTTAATAGAGACATAATCTTGCCGGTAGTTAAGGAAAGTCTTAATTTAAACAGAGCGATCGTTTAATTTGTGAATAATGAAATGCAATCCGGACGTTGCTTTCAATGTAATTATTCCAATATAGTATATAAAAATCAGCCCCCAATAGAGGTTACATCTAGGGGCACTTAGCAGCGCTTGATAAAATGATGAAAGATAGGTTGCTTCAATGTATAAAATTTTTCTATCTATGAATTACTTTAGCTGACGTTTCTTTGAACACCATTTCTCAAAGTGGAGCAAAAAATATCTTGTTCATATATACATTTGATTTAAACCCTCTTGTGTAAAATCGAAACATTTGTTACAAACGGAGAAATTTCGCTCTTTTGCAGAATGTAAATAAAGTTAAAATAAATAGGAATTTTTGTTGAAAAGTAGACAATAGAAAAGTTCCTTCATGCCCATTGCGCTGCAAGTTTAATAGTAAAAAATACAAGTTTTGAAACAATATCAGACAGCGTGTATGAATTTGGGAGAATAATAATATTTTCTCTATGTAAGAACGAAAGCAGATAAAAAGCGGAGTTAAAAAGAGAAAATTTCGAGCAGAAAGCGTACAACAAATAATTCACCTCGGGCGGTACTTTAAGTTTATGATGCCAATTTTTTAAAATTAATAAAAATGCCATATTCGAGAACGATCGATATTTGCTCTTTCTCTGACAATGTTATTTTAAAAAATTTAAAACTCGTTCCAATCACACAATCTAATTATTGTTTAATGTTCTGCAACATTCTAGTGGAAACCGAAATTCTCTCTTGATGGAGTTAGAGAAAAGTTTTATTTTAATTTAGGTAATCCTTTTTTTAATGGCTTTCTTAGATTTTAATTCACTTTTACACAAAACTTAAAGCGACTCACATAAATTTTATCTTATTAAACATCTTAAACTTAAAAATTGTTTAAATTGTTGCGCATATCAACGATCTAATCACGCCATTCAACTATTTAGAACACATCGATTTTTCTTTCTGCTACAATAAAAAAAAAACCTTATTACCTTACTATATTTTTAAATAAATTGTTTTTAATTTATTTACTAAAGGACAATAATGACGCACTTTCTTGTCGCGGACTAAACTGGTCGCTAAGGATTACTCCTCGTTTTAAGACAAAAGAATTTGCCTAATGTCTTTTTTATATAAAAGCCAAACAATACATTACCTTCCCCTGTTTCATGTTATTTAATTTTACAAATGTATAGACCGCCGAAAAGCTACTCGGAGATGCTGATAATGATTTTTCTTTACCAAAATTATCCTTTAAACAAAACATTGCAAACTTAAATTAACTTAGAACTAAAACTGCTCAAACAATAACTTTGATTAAGACTTAGAACTAGCACACTCAAAAATATCACTTCGTTATAGTTTAATTAACAGCTTAATTAAATCCGTATTGTTTCTAGTATAGATATTTAGAATGTAAATGATGCAGGCACTTAAAATATAACTCTTTGATAATTCAAAAGATGTTCCACACAGATATCGATTTAAATCAAACTAAGCTGTCAGAATTAATAAAGATTTACCAATATGTAGAGTAGTAGAGAAAAGTAAAGTACCAAGATTTTTTATTTATACCGAAATAAAGCTAAAAATTATTTAAGTGCCACTAGTGCAATAGGTAATGCAAATTTAATTTGGTAAAGGTCAGATATATCAGTTCACCGATTATTACAAATTTTATTTTTAGTAATATTGAATGGCACACATCTAATATAGCGCATAAAATGTTGGATATCTAGTTGAAAATGAAATAAAATGAAACTAGATCATGCATTTTATTCAGTTAGATGTGTGTGTCTAAAAGCCATAGATCAATGTTTGAAACATATTCTAGATTAGATTTGTTGATCGAGTACAATAAAAGTGTCGCAAACGTGGTCAAATCTAGAACATTAAAACTAGAAAAGTTAAAGGGCGGGTCCCGGACGTGGCGTGAGGGCAAGGGTTAATCAATTACGCTTTTTCTTTTGCAAATGGTTATTTATTAATAACGCGCCTTGGTAATAGTGAATTATGTATTATTACAATTGTGCATGTGATCGAAAATAAGGTTGATTAAGCCTGGCGGACGTTGGCTTCCGGTTGATTAAGTGACAAATTCAAAATGAAGGTCGAAAGAAAGTTTTCAATATTTGATAAATATGTAAAATAGTACTTCAAAGTAAAAAAGTTTCAGAGACGTGTCTTGTTAATAAAATTTCACATAATTATTACTAAAAATTTACACTGATCGCTTATTAAACGAATAAACATACTCGTATTGAAAAAGCCCATTCGTAGCAAAAATTATTATTAAATGAACAATTGTTTAAAAACGCTTCTCATCTTTTTTAAAATCTCCTAAATGAAGAGAGCTACAAGCTAAAAATTTTAGAGAGAAATAAGAAAGATTCTTCAATTGATGTAAAAAGGAAGTAATAATTGCGATAAGCTTGAGTTTGTGTGTGGTTATTGTTAAAAATTCATAAAAACTAGACTTTAAAGATATCAAAAACTCTAAACCGGAAATAAATATTTAATGTTTGGAATTTTCATTTTGACTTTGTGATTGCTGTGGCAAATGAATGTAATTGTTGTGCAAGTTTATTTCTTTTAAAGAATGTGATGTTTAGTGAACAAGTGGCTTTACCATTTATTTTCAAGCATTTAGCTTTTGTTAGTAGAGATAATATATTTAAAAGAATGTGTTTTATAACCGGTGGAAAGAGTGGTAAAAGCGTCTATTTCGGAAGCGAATATTCCGCATTTGTTTGATATGGCTTGGTGGCTTGGAAAATTTTATTTGTAGGTATTATTCTTACATCTTGAATGTTGTCTCTCGACTATATAGTAGGCTGAATTGTAAACCGACACAAATAAAATATTTAAATATGCAATGACCCATCACGATAATAAGAGTGAAACTATTCTGTCAATAACAACCATGAATATTTATAAGAGGCGTTTAATGTTTTTAGAGAATTTTCTAATTAATTTTAATGCTTGGATTTTGGAAGTTGTCAAAAACAGGAAACCGCCTTTCTGC